ATAAAATGTTTTCATGCCTTGGTATCTGCTTCAAAAACTCTGAAACTTTGAGGGTTTGAAGAACACATGCTGAACAACCTCCCCACAAAATTCCAGAAGGCCGAATGGGAGTGCGATGACCGTGCCACTGTAATGTGTTGGCACAACACGGCAGCGTGCCACTCCTCACTCCTCTGAGTTCCCCCCGACGGAGGCTCCTCTGCAGACCCTTCACATGGACGTGTGGGGCCCACCCCGCGTCCGTAGACAGGGCGGAGAGTGCTACTTCCTGCTGGTAGTTTACGACTACACGCGTTACACCACGGTCTTCCCCTTGCGCACCAAGGGAGAGGTCCTTGCTGTCTTGATCCCTTGGATCCGCGCTATTCGTCTCCAGCTGGAGAGGTGCTTTCGCACGGACCTTCCCATCCTGTGACTGCACTCTGACAAAGGTGGTGAGTTTTCCGCCGACCTCTTGGAGGCCTTCTGTCAAAGGGAGGGCATTGAGCTGGCGTTCACGCTTCCGCTCTCTCCTCAGCAGAATGGGGTTGCTGAGCGCCGCAGTGGCTTGGTCATGGAGGTCCCTCGTACGTCCTTGGTCCATGCGGCTGCCCCCCATTTTCTGTGGCCGTTTGCAGTCTGGTACGCCGCGCATCACCTGAACCTCTGGCCCCGTGTCTCCGTTACGGAGACCTCGCCGACACTGCGTTGGACGGGAGCGGTTGGCGATGCGTCTGTGTTCCGTGTCTGGGGATCTCGTGCCTTTGTCCACGATACGTCCGCGGACAAGCTCTCCTCCCGTGCCGTTCCTTGTGTCTTCCTGGGCTTTGTCCCTGATGCGCCTGGCTGGCAGTTTTACCTCCCCAGCTCGCGCCGTGTCTTCCCCTCTCAGGACGTCACGTTTGACGAGTCGGTCCCCTTTTACCGTCTCTTCCCCTACCGCACTGCCCCGCTCCCCCCTCCGCCGCTCTTCCTCACGCCAGGTGCTGCATCGGTAGACCCCCTGCCTCCCCAGGGTCCTGCTCCCTCAGGTGTGTCCCAGGTAGACCCGGTCGAGCCTGTCGAGGTTGCTGTCGACTCTGGTCCTGCGCGAGGTACTGAGCATGAGCGTGATGAGCCTGGTGGTGCTGGGTCTCAAGGTACTGCGACTGGGGGTGCTGAGCCTGGGGGTGCGGAGATTGGGGGTGCTGAGCCTGAGGGTGCGGAGACTGCGGGTGCTGAGCCTGGGGGTGCTGAGACTGGGGGTGTTGTCCTTGGGGGTGCTGAGTCTGGAGGTCCTGAGCCTGGGGGTGCTGCGCCTAGGGGCGTTCTCTCTTCCCAGCAGCTGCAAGAGTGGTACTCTCGGTACTGTCACCGCCGCCGTGGTGCTGTGGGAGCTGGAGGTGCTACTGGAGCTGGACCTGAGGGCGCTGAGCCTACTAGAGTTGGTGTTGCTGCTGACCCTGGGGTTGGCGCTGGAGGTGCTGGAGCCACTGGTCCTGGAGGTGCTCGTATTGGTGGTACTGGAGCTGCTGGGACTGGGGGTGCTATTGGAGCTGCTGGAGCTGGTCGTGCTGGAGGTACTGGTGCTGGTGGAGGTGCTGCTAGTACCGGTCTTGTTGGAGGTGCTGCTGGTGCTGCTGGAGGTACTGGAGTTGTTGGTGGTGTTGAGCCAGTTGGAGCTGCTGCTGGAGGTTCTGGTGCTGTCTTTGCTGGTTCTGGGGGCACTTCACGGCCACAGCCGTACTTCGCTCCCCTCCTTCAGTAGGTTCTTGGTCAGCCGCCTCCTCCTTGTCATGCTCCCTCCTTAGAGTGTCCTCCGCCTGTCCAGTCGCTGTAAAGAGCTACCGCCTGCCTCGCCACTCTCCCTGGTCCTTCACCCTACACTGGTCCGACAGGCGGTCTTACCGAGCGTCGTGAGCCTGAGTCTCGTCCTGTGTCGCCTGATTCTCGGTCTGCGTCACCTGTTCGTGCTGCTCGCACTGGTCCTCGTGTCCCGCGTCAGCATCCTCCTACTGTCCCAGGCACTCACCAGATGGCGCTTCGTCCTTCCACTGCTCCACAGCGTGTCCCACTGCCTTCTCCTCCGGCGTCCTCTCTTCTTGCCCTTGCTGACCCGGAGTCTGACGCTCTTCGTGCTGCTAGTCCTACTGTCATGCGTCTTCTGGCCACGGCTGTCACTGACCCTTCCTTTGAGTCAGCTGCTACGTTTGCCTTAGTTGCTGAGCTTGTCGACTTTGCTGCTCACTGTCGTCTAGACTACGCTGCGCGTATTGTTGCTGAGTCTGAGTCTGTTTTTCCTCCGTCTGTCGGGGGTGAGTGTGCTCTTGGCACGGACGTCGTTGAGGACAGGCAGGAGGAGTTTGAGTGCTTTGCCGCCGCTGTACCTCATTTCGTGTCCATGCTGATTGCACCTGAGGGAGACCGGATGCACCAGACATCCCGACCCCACGCTCTTACGCTGAGGCGATCGCGGGTGAGTACTCCTCTCAGTGGCAGTCAGCCATGGACGCAGAGATGGCATCCTCGAAGTCCACTGGCACTTACGTGGACGAGGTTCCCCCTCCTGGGGCGAACATCGTCACTGGCATGTGGATTTTCAGGGTGAAGCGGCCGCCAGGTTCTCCGCTTGTCTTCAAGGCTCGTTACGTTGCTCGAGGCTTCTGTCAGCGAGAGGGAGTAGACTTCTTCCAGACCTTCTCCCCCACCCCGAAGATGACCACTCTTTGGGTGCTACTGCACGTTGCCGCTCAGCGTGACTACGAGCTTCACTCTCTTGACTTCATCACAGCTTTCTTGCAAGGCAGCCTGCACGAGGAGATCTGGCTGCGCCGCCCACCTGGCTTCACTGGGTCGTTCCCTCTTGGTACCCGGTGGAGCCTCCAGCGGCCAATCTACGGTCTCCGCTAGGCGCCCCGTGAGTGGCACGACACACTGAGGACTACACTTGAGGCGCTTGGGTTCGTGCCTTCTACTACTGAGCCGTCGCTGTTTCTGCGCACCGACACTTCGCTGCCGCCATTCTACATCCTCGTGCACGTCAACGACTTGGTCTTTGCCACTGCTGACACTGAGGCTTTCGCCCTGGTCAAGTCGGAGCTGCAGAAGAGACACACGTGCACACACTTGGGTGAACTGTGCAGCTACCTTGGCTTGCAGATTACCCGGAACAGAGCACGCCGCACCATCACACTGACTCAGTCACACATGGTGCAGCAGGTCCTTCAGCGCTTCAGCTTCACCTGGTCCTTAGGACAGGCCACTCTTCTAGCTATAGGTCACTCGCTCTCAGCTCTGCCTTCGGATGAGTTCGTAGAGCCGAGTGGTCCTTATCCAGAGCTAGTTGGTTGCCTCATGTACCTGATGACTTGCACTCGTCCTGACCTAGCATACCCTCTTGGCCTTCTGGCCCGCTATGTGGCTCCTGGCAGGCACCAAAAGATGCACTGAGATGCTGCAAAGAGGGTATTGCGCTACTTGTGCAGTACATCGGGCATGGGGCTCGTGCTTGGAGGTGGGAGCTTAGTTGTTCTCACTGGGCACTTAGACGCTTCTTGGGTTGACGACCTGGCTTCTCAGCGGTCGTCATAGGGTTACACCTTCAGCCTTGGCTCTGGCTCAGTTTCTTGGCGTTCTACACGTTCGTCTTCGGTTCTCAGCTCTAGTTGTGAGGCTGAGATCTACGCCACAGCCATGGCTGCACAGGAGCTACGCTGGCTCACCTACCTGCTGACCGACCTGGGAGAGCGGCCTCGTTCTCCTCCAGTTCCGTACGTCGACAACAAGGCTACCATTGCCTTGTGTGAGGAGCACAGACTGGAGCACAGAACAAAGCACATCGCTCTGCGTTACTTTCTGGCTCGAGAGTTGCAGCACCGTGGTCAGCTTTGTCTGCGTTACGTGGCCACTCGGGCCAACACTACTGATATATTCACCAAGGCACTTTAGTCTGGTGATCATCAGCGTTTCTGCACTATGCTAGGGCTTGTGCCCACTTTTCCTCACACGCTGTAGGCTTTGCTTGTACTGTGATCTATATATATGTAAATATATACATGCATGCTTGCTTTGCTAGGTAGAGATCACTGTGCTGTTTGTGTTGCATATATGCCTCTGCATGTGGACTGGCCTTGTGGCCCTTTGCTTGTGCTCTGTGTTTGTGGTTACGTTGTGATCCACCCTGAGCTTGCTTTGCCTTTCTTGACTGGTCTTGTGACCCCTTGCTCTCCCCCACTTTGCCTATGGGGGTGTGTCAAATGTCATGTCTGCTACAGTTTGTTTAGGCTGTAGTGGGGTAGTTACTATGGGGTACAGTAGGTTTAGGGTTTCCTACATGTACCCAACTATTTCCTAGTTCAATCACACTTGTTCATTCTGACACCGGCTGCCTTCGATGGCCGACGCTCGCCAGCGCGGCCTTCGGCCGCGTGTGAGGGGTGGCAAGGGGAGAAGCAAACCAAGACATAAAGCAACATGGGGTACATCATGGGCAACTAGCAGGTCAGGACAAGAACACCACCCCCAGGAAAGGAGATCCCGCCATGGGGAAGCCCAAGGCAAGGCCCAGAACTACACGAGCCTGCAAGGGAGAAACACGCGTTACTCGGAGAGGATCCAGCACAGCCTCCCGTCCATCCAGCGCAGGACGGATGCGGCTGCTGATACAAGGCCGAGGGGGGCCTCCCGGGCGGACTCAGCAAGCCTCACCATCGCCCGTGGGCCGGGCCCAAGCGCTGCACCAAGGGCGCGCGGCAAAAAGCCGATCAAGGGGAGATAATGCAGCATCTCCGTTGCTGCTGCCACCGCCGCGGACTGCTTCGACGGAAGCATCCCCCCAATCTCCATGCCTTGACGCGCCAAACACTCGCGGAGCTGGTCCAGGACGTACAACAGCAACGTTAAACACGTCCCCACGTGCATTACGCGCTGCTCGACGTGGGGAGGCGTCGCGGCTACAGGAACAACAACATGAGGAGCCGGTGGGACGGGTGGGTTTGGCGGCGGTAGGGGAGTCTGCGGCGTTTGCTGCCGAGGTCGGGGTAATGGATACTGGTTCAGTGGAGCCGGGTGCTGCTGCGGAACCTGGGGCAACGGAGCGGGAGGAGACTGACGTGGCTGTGGCGGCTGAGGCGACGAGGACGGCGCGGGAGACGCAGAGGCCTGAAGCTGGGACTGCTGCCGCCTTTGGCGGCGGCTTAATCTCACAGCCCGCGGCGCAACCGACGGGGATGCTACTATGTATGGATGGGGGCCTGGTTGCGGAGGAGCCACAGACGATACTGGGGTCGGCTGAACCTCCAACACTCAAGGTGGCAGAATCCCCGCCACCGCTTGGGGTGACGGCAATTGCTGCGGTCGTAGCTGAGGAGGCACGGCGGCTGGAAGGATCCCCGAACGAAGATTCTGCATCGAGTGCCGCTGAGTCCGCCGGAACGCCTGCTGCTTCCGGGGCCGCAAGCATGCAGGAGCACAGCCAGGTGGAGGGTGATAGCGCGGGTCCCGCGAACGGCGCCTCTTCCGACGCAGCACGGGCGAAGAAGGAGAATTTGCTACGCGCGCAGATAGCAGCGAGGCGGCCCGGAGCAGGGCTGGGACCTGGTGCCCCGGGACCCCTCCAGGGCTGGCTTCTGCAAGAGCAGTCGCCACAAGGGCGAGAGCGTCAACTGCCATCTGTGGGGCAAAGAGGAGGGGGCGATGAAGGGGAGAACGACGTAAGGCCAGGGCGTCCCCCAAACAGCAGGACGGGTGACATGGCAACAGAGGCGGCAAACGGACAAGTGCCCCAAAGGCTCCCCAGACACACAGTGGGGACAAGACAGAACACGAGGGATGGGAAGAACACGGAGCGGAGCAAGAAGCAATAACCAAAGCAGCGCCTACCCGCCGAACCGGAAACGCAACCCCGCAGGTGGTGCCCCGCGAAACACGTAGCAGGATACGCGCCCAGGGTATTGTCTGGGGAAGGCTGACGGCGACGCGCAACGGAGCGACACACACGCCGTGGTTACCGGCGGGAAGGGCGCCAGAGGCCGGACGTGGTGGCGGGCGGAAAACCAACACCCCGGTGAGAGGAGGGACCACAGCACGCGGGCGTCGTGGCGGAACACGAGGGGCGGGAAGCGCAAAAGGAGTGATTGTCGGCGGAAGGGAGGCACCGGTCAGAATGGGCACGTGGCAGGAACGCCACGATCGGCCAGAAATGGAAGTAACTCCAGCGAATCAGGAGGCCAGGGACTCTGACAACCCAGATGACGGGGAGGATTTTATCCCCTCAGAGTATCCTGCCTCGGAGGATGTATCGCTAGGGGAGGAAGGAGACACAGCAGGAGGGCCTCGGAGGAGAGGTGACACGGAGACTGGGACACTTGCACCAGCCGAGACAAAAGGTGGTGGGAGTGCTAGAGAGGGCGTGAGAGAATCAAACGCCGTGTCACTAGCTGAGGTGGCTGCGAACGACGCAATATGGCAAGATGCTGCCACTTGGGACGTCGCTAAGCTCCAGCGGGGGGACCAGCCCTTTCTCGTCCGCAGAATGCCGCCGACAATCCTGCAGAGTTACACCCTGTGTGTCCTATCACCACTCCTCCGACTCGCAAAAAATCCCCACTGTCCAGGTGCATGGGCGATATTGCAATTCCTGCCGAGGCTGACCCTTCGGCCGCCCCCCGAACCAGTCGAAGGGTCACGCTGGGCAAGGATTGAAGAGAGGCTGCAGCAATTCCAACAAGGCAATTGGAGGGGCCTTCTTAACGAGACAGCGTTATCCCCGACAGTGGCCACCCGATACGACACCAAGCTGATGACGCGGGGGTCTGTGCACAGGTGGAGAGTTTGATACGAAAGGGCAATATTTCAAAGGCGGTTGCTACGATGCAAACAACCCCGCTTGCAGACACTACACCAGAAACACTCGCAGCCCTGCAAGCGAAGCATCCAGCTGCAGTTTCGTCAACACCCGCGTGTATAACCGGCTACACCCAGACGGCACTGGGAGTCAGCCCTGACGATCTTCACGAAATTCTCAATCGTTGCCCCAACGGGGTTAGAGCGGGACCTTCAGGCACATGTTTCGAACATCTCAAGGACCCACCACTCAGAAGCGAGGAAGTCCTTATTCTCCTCGCTAAAGCAATAAACTACCTACTTAGTACCCTCCAGCCGCAGGCCGCCAGAGATCTACTGCTACCATCACGACTCATGGCATTAGAAAAGCTAGGGGGAGGTGTGCGCCCGATAGCGATTGGAGAGGGTCTACTGCGCGTCGTGGCGAAAGCTGCCCTTAAAGAACTATCTCAAGAAATTCGAGAGTTCTTTCTCCCCGTGCAGTATGGCGTAGCAGTACCGGGGGGAGCGGAATGCATCGTCCACTCGGTTTGATCATTGCTAACGGAGGACGAGAAGCGCATAGCTCTACAGATAGATATTGAGAACGCGTTTAATAGTGTTGAGCGGGCGGCATTCTTCATAGCACTCTCGCAGTCCAGCCTACAGCCGCTCCTTCCACTCGTACGCACGCTCTATGACGGTCCGTCACGCCTTATTGTGGACCACAGGCTTGGCGTGGACCATATCGTGAGCGCGCGGGGAGTGAGACAAGGCGATCCGTTGGGCCCCCTCCTGTTTGCAGCAGCAATCCTGCCCACATTGCTCAGCATGGCAACTTTGCTTCTTGGAGTGACAGTCGTCGCGTACGCCGACGACATCATCGTCGGGCCGCGAGATGCCGCCTATGAGGCCTTCAAGAACATCATGAGGGAGCTCAGAGGGCTGGGGCTCCGATGCAACATCCGAAGTCGACTGGGTGGGCGGCTGTCAAAGGGGAGAACGAGGTGCCACCACCGGAGGGCCCGCTAATGAGCACAGCGGGCATCGGCGTTTTGGGGAGCCCGATAGGCACGGCGAAATTGTGCACCACCCATGCCCAAGCACGCCTCTAGGACGCATCGGCGCCGCTGCCACTAATCGCTGTTGCAGGTGGTTAGCTAACCACGACCTAAAGGGACCTACGTCGACCTAAGAAGAAATCGGTGTGACTAGCAGTGACTAAGGGGGAGTAAGGACCTAAGAAGAATATGAGCTACTTGTGTTGGGGCGGTAGATGAAGGAACACGGCAGCGGCGGAACCTATGGTGAGAAACGGAGAGAACAAGAGGAAGCGTGCGGATGTGGAGAAGATCAGGGCTGAAATGTCGAGATTTGAAGTGAAGTGAAGGGAAGTCACGCCGGGTCAAAGGCGCGTCCAAGGAAGTCTGAAATTCGAACTCGAGGCGCGTTCGGTGCATGGTTGGATTTGGAAATTGAGCCGAGTACAAGTCAGCTCGAAATCAGGCGCGGCACGAGGGCGAAATCAGAAATCTTTTTGCTTATAACTTGCTTTGTGTTTTCTGTTTTTGTATGCCTTCTTCAAGGAAATTACTTGAACTTTCTGCCTTGACGTTTTCCAGCAAATTCCTTCACACAGTTGAGGCCAGAGCTTCATATGCTTGTTACTAAGACTCTAAATAGTCTTCATAGTCTAGACTAAAGGCTGCGCACGTACAAGAGCTGGTATCAGAGCTGGTTTAAGGCGTGTTCTAGCGTTTTGAGGATAGGCGGAATATACTAAGTATGACGGACGATCATACTGAGGCGAGTTCGGGCTCCTCTGTGAGCATTGGAGGCTCAGAACTACAGGCCATCCTAACAGCGCTAGCACAAGCTAAATTGACGGCGAAGCCAACGATTGGGCTTAGCGAGGCCCAACGGTTCCATGGAGAAAATTATAGCACGTGGCGACTCAAGTTCATTCGTAGAGCGGAGGAAGTCGATCTCTGGCCATACTATCATCCCGACAAGGAGACGGGAGAGGGCATCCCACCATCTGCAAAAGAAAAACCAGAAGAAAATGCGTCATTCAAAAAAAGGAGTAAGCAAGCATTTTTTCAATTGTGCCATTCGGTTTCTGACAGCATTGCAGTGGGGCTGGATCAATTTGCGGGAGAGGAGAACTCTGCCGAACGAGCCTGGGAGTACATGGAAGCTGCTTACCTTGGGCTTACGGATACGAACAAAGCAGCCATTCGGAAGAAACTCCTTCTATTGAGTATGGAGCCGGGGGAGAGGGTCATTGACTACATGAATCGAGCGAAGGGGTACAATGACGACCTCAAGGCTATGGGGGCAGCTGAAACTGAAGGAGAAATAATGGGGTACATCATTACTGGGCTGCCCAAGGAGTGGGAAGCAGAGATAGGGCTCCTAACCTGCAACCCACCCGTGAATATGACCAAGCTGTTGGAGACGCTCCAAGCTCTGGAGCGGGTGAAAGCTGATCGGCTCAGGAAGGAGGTTAGCTTGAATGGAATGGGACCAGCCACTCATGCCATGGTAAACGCAGCAGCTACAGGGAAAGGATATGGAGGATTCGGGGCGTGTTTTCAGTGTGGAAAGAAGGGTCATAAGCAGATAGACTGCTATGACAACCCAAGGAGCAGAAATTTTAAAGGGAAATGGAGCGGTCTGCAGCAGAAGGGGCTGCAGAACGGATGGCAGAGAGAGGGGGAGGTTCGAGGTGATAACAAGATGCAGAGAGGCGGATTTTCAGGGGTATGTCACTATTGCCAGAAAATTGGGCATAGGGCAGCCAACTGCTACTCGAACCCGAACAGCAGGAACTACCGAGGGGCAAACCAGCAGCAGAATCAACCAACAGCAGCAAAAGCAAATGCAGTGGAAGCTGAAAACAGTGAGGTGGACATAATTTTGGGGGGAGCTCACAAGGCAAACGTGGCAAGGGCATCGGGAGTGTGTTTGATGGCAAAGGGGTTTGGTGAAGCTGCGTGGTTCATGGATAGTGGCTGCACGCAACATATGACCAATCATCCTGAGTGGCTTACCGGATTGAGGGAGTCTAGTGTACCCTACGTTCTGTTGGGCGATGAAGGAAAACTGAGTGTGAAGGGGGAAGGAGAGTTGCTGCTCCAGGGAGAGTACGGGGAGCTGAAACTGGAGAATGTGCTTTTAGTGGAGAAGCTGTCACTGAATCTGATCAGCCAAACTCAACTTGACAGCACGGGGTGCAAAACCTTCAGCGACAAGGGGAAGCTGTGGGTTTTCAATGAGGATTGGAAGGTGGTTGCAGAAGGGAACAGAAATCAGGGGTTGTATGAAATGAAGCTGAGGAAGAAGGGGCTGGAGGATGAGAATGCCACCTACCTGCCATCACTCGAAGGGGACCTAGCTAGGGAGGAGTTGAAGGCTCGGCTTGGTGGCTTACCAGTGAAGGAGCTGCAGCAGGAAGCTTCAGCCATGGTGGTTGGGATGGAGAAGGTGAAATTGGAGACCTTGCACAGGCGCATGGGGCATGCAAGCATGGATAGGGTCAAGGAGTTGGTAAAAAAGGACATGGTAAAAGGTGTGGCACTGAAGGAGGGGGCTGGAAGCAAGGGAAAATGCAGCAAGTGTGTTGAAGGTAAAATCACAAAGTCCCCTCACCCCCACCACCAGGTACATGAGCCTTATGGCACCTTGGACATCGTAGCTGCCGACGTGTGTGGGCCTATGAGGGTGGCATCACGTCACGGCAGCCGCTACTTCGTTACCTTCACTGATTTGGGAACAAGGCACACATGGGTGACGGAGCGAAAGATAAGGCAGAAGTGTTTCCTAGCTTCGTGACTTGGATGGCGGAAGCAGAGCGGCAAAGTGGGAAGGTGGTGAAAGTTTTAAGGACAGATAATGGAGGGGAGTTTACTGGTGAGCTATTCAACAAGTTTCTACAGAGTAAAGGCATCCGACGGCAGCTGACTGTACCCTACACTCCACAGCATAACAGCATAGCGGAGCGGGTGAATCGGTCACTACTAGGCAGTGTGAGGAGCATGCTTGCCGACAGTGGGCTGCCACTGAAGTTCTGGGGTGATGCATTGGCAATGGCTTGCTGGTCCAAGAACCGCCTACCTACGAAGGGACTTCAAGCAGATATGACTCCCCACGAGGCCTTCTATGGCAGGAAGCCGAATCTGGGGTTTGCACGGGTGTGGGGGAGTATGGTGCAATACAGAGAGCCAGCTGGTCCGGATCATAAGTTGCTGCCCAAGGCTCATTGGGGGATTAACCTCGGTACCTGCCCAGTGAGCAAGGGGTGGGTGATAAAGGATGTAATTTCAGGAAAGGTCACGATCACCCGGGATGTTGTCTTCTACGAGGAGGTGAACTACCTGCAGTGGAAGGGAATAGAGAAAGAGATTGCAGCAGCAGGGACAGCAACTGCACCGGACAAGGTGGAGGATCTTTTGGAGGAAAAGGAGAGTGAGGGAGTTGGAGATGAAGGAGATGAGGAGCTTGAAGATGTGGAACGGGCAGATTCAGTCGATTGGGTGTGGGAGAAGGTACCAACCAGTGAAGCGGATGAAACCAATGGAGTGGAGATAGCAGGGGAGCAGCCAAGCAATGAAGTAGCTGAGGGTGGCAATGATGAAGTGGCTGGAGAAGAGGGAGATGAAGAATCAGCAGCTGAAGGAGATAGTGATCCTTGGAAGCTCCTAGATAGTGAAGACAGCAATGTCAAGATGAGAGAGATAGCGGACCTGCTTAAGGAAGGTGCCATCATCATTGGAAGGGAAGTGAAATCTGGAGATGAGAATGAGAAGGCAAAGGAGGATCTCAGTGG